GCTTTGAAAAGTATATACTCCGTATACAAGAATGCCTTAATTCATTTTCATAAATTAAAACTATCTAAAATGGAGCTTTAATTTTCTTTATTATTATTGTACTTACTCAATGTGTGTTTTTACAAAATTTTGAACTCCGATCCTATCCCCCTAAATAGCATGTCTTTGTGTTTTAGAAATCATACTTTTTTACCCACCACATTTTAAAATAAGCATATGCGTTAATTACAAAGGGTAATGTAGAGTGCATCTACTATATACACATTCTTACTCTAAAAAATTACATTAACCAAGTTGTCATACAAGATTTGCAAAACAACAAACAAATTGCCGCATATCTTCAACACAGTAAAAAAGTAAACCAAAACAAGGTACCCATAATAGTTAATAATTTCTTCAGACTTCCAAATTCAAAGTGTTTGCATTTATTTTGGGGGTTTTCGTGTTTTTAAGAACTAAGTTTCTCATATAGTTCAACTGTTAAAGCATGCTTTCTTGTTTATGGTCCTTTAAAACTGATTTTTGTCAACCCCTACTCACTACCACACCAAAGTGACTATTTACTCTTCATGCGTGATTAGACCCTTAGAGGTCTGCCATAAAACCTTCTTTAGAAACTTCAAAAAACTAAATGGATTTATTCAATACCATCAAATTCTAAGGGTAATGTCACTAAGGTCGCACCTACTAAAGTAATTACGTTCCCAGTAAATAACTTATCACATTTTACAGAATCCAAACCCAACATAGCTCATACCTGAATATATTAATGCTGCTATCAAGTAAGTCTACTAAATTGGTCTAACTAATCATATTTTCTCAATAGGGTGTGCGGACTTTCACATGTCATGTGTATCTGAGTACTACACAGTTCCCACAAAAGTTCCAAATGAGTTTCAGATTTATGATTGGGGTTTATCCCAACTCTTAAGATAATTTGGAGTTTCAATATGTAGAGGAGTGTTCCTCACTGAGTGTTATATTTCATTACTAATTTTATTTTCTCTACTATGTATAAATTGGATATATTTAAAAGAACGACTTCCTGCTTTACGAACTCAATTCCAAATTTTTTAAAGGTAAGTGTCAGATTGGTACTCGAAGTTGCATAAAAAGGGTCAAATAAGTCCTTATATAAGAGGTTATGTCCGGCCGTCGCCATTTGGGGCAGTTTCCGTTGGAATTTTTTGACGAATTTTTTTTAGCATCTTATTCATTAAGTCTAGTTTACTCATACCAAATTTGAGCTAAAAATTCAACCGGGAAGGCATTCAAATGAATTCTTGATGATAACTACGCAATTAAAAGCGCAGTTATCTTCAAGAATTCATTTGAATGCCTTTCCGATTGAAGTTTTAGCTGAAATTTGGTACGAGTAAACTAGACTTAATGAATAAGATGCTCAAAATATTTCATCAAAAAATTCCTCCGGGAACCGCCTCGAATGGCGACGGCCGGACAGTAAGGACTTATTTGACCCCTTTTTATGTAACTTATTTGACTCCAATATGACCCTTACCTCAAATTTTTTATCTTGCATAATAAGAAGGTATATTATCTATATTTGTGCTATTGGTGTGAATAATTTGGTTGTATGTGTTGCATAGAAGGTAGTTCTTGATGTGCCGAAGTAGTACTCATATAAACAAGATTCATTTATTCAAGAATTGTGTAATGTTATCTCATTATGTTCATGTGTTTGGATTTTGATTAGAAACTAAATACTCCATTCAATATTAGAAAGCATTTTTATTTGCATCTTTATCTTATTTGAATGAAAAATTAATTTCAGTGGTGTGACTGTAATTGTTTGGAAAATTAATTCAATAGATACTTTCTAATTTAAATCATTATTACCAAGCCTAAAGTTTTCTACATATTTCTCTTGAGCTGTGTTCTTTTGGACTAAAAATTACTTGTATGATCTTATTTAATCAACTCTAGGCCTCAGTTTTATGTTAAGAACCTAGACAACGCCAAACATTATTCATATTTGATACTTATAGCACTATTTTGTTTAGTTTTGCTAACAATGATTATGTGTTATAATAGAGTCACATTTGTCTAATTCTCTTCCGATCTCTTTGAAACTGGTCGCATCAGAGAGAAGAGACAAATATAAGCCTAAGAGAAAAAGACATATTAGTTAAGTTATATGCAATAGTTAACCTGAGCTGGAGTCTAATTACATTATGTTTAATTGAATGATGTATTGAGCCCATTAAATTATTCATTCCATCTGATACAAAAAAACAATTCAATCCATTTGTTGTTAATTTTACTTGCTAGTTACTTTTATATTTAAATAAAGGATGATGATTCGGATAGTTTTATTAGGATCTTGTGCTATCTTTCTAATGTTTGTTAATTATTGATCCACGACCTTATTAAAATGAAATTCATACGAAGTAAAAGATTATTAAAGTCCAATTTATTGACATTATTTATGTACACTATCCTGTATAAATTTATTTCCCTTACTTGACCGCTGAAGTTACATGTTTCGTCTATCACTCCACATGAATAGCAGGACTTCCGATTGGGCTTCAGAGCTCCTTCTCAAGTAGCTGCACTTGGATTTTGAAGGTATCTACACATAACTTAGAGTTCTCTTCATTAACTCTAACCTTAATAGACCTTAAATCAAGCTTAAAAGTGAATGAGTCTCCTCTGATGGATTTCATAACTAATAAAGTGTAGAATTATAGAGCTCCTTCTCAAGTAGTATTGCTTAAATGCCAATCATTCAAGAACTCTAAATCATTTAGGCAGACTCAAGAAATCCCATCTATTGGTTATTTGGTTTAATGTCAATTGAGTTCTAATATGGCTTTTAAAGCCCAATGACTTTGGACAAGCTGTCTTTGGACAAACATGGTGTAGTAGAAGAAGAAAAAAATACATAAGAAGGTCCCTAGATTGTTTTCATTTATTATTATCGTCACTTAGTCAATGTGTGTGTACAAAAAAAACTGACCCCCCCCCCAAAGCATGTCTTCATGTTTAGAAATCATACTATATATGGGGATAAAGCGGTAATTTAACCCACATTCATTATACATTATAAGTGGTAATTTAAATAGCATGTGCTATGTACAAACTCCACTCCATGCCTTCAGATCATTATGCATTATAAGTGGTAATTTAAATAGCATCTGCTATGTACAAACTCCACTCCATGCCTTCAGATGTGAACCAACGTCTCATACAAAAAGGTAACTGATAAGAATAGAAAAATAAAATCAACGGGGTAAACCGTTGCCCAGATAATCAACGATAAAAATAACGTTGCCCAGAGCCAAAAGGCTAAAACTAATTTTATTCCAAGATGAGCCAGAATAAATCCTAACAAGGGGTTTAAATACCCATCTACTAACTCTTAAAGTAGGAAACAAAATCCGGCCTAGAGATCCTAATCAACTCCAACTAGGAAACAGAATAATAAAGATCCTAATCAACTTCAAATAGGAAAGAAATAATAGAAATCCTAATTAACTCTTAATGGGAAGCAAATACTACGTATTACAAATCCTATTTAACCCCAAAAGGAAACAAATCAGGAAAAATAAAAAGAATAAATATTAATTAAACAGCCCGCAACAAGCCTACGGAGGTAGGCTCAAGCCCGTCTCGCCTTCGGTAAACCCACGGGGGCTTCTTCCCCTCTTCTTCCAAGCCCAAATTCTGCTTCATATCAGTAACTAAAACCATACTTATGATTGTTAAAAACTACTTTCGGTTTTCTTGGTTTTTAGAAGTTATTTTCTCTTATAGTTTAAAGATGATTGAAATAGGACATAATGTGTGATTTACTGAAGCATTACCAGTCTTTATGGAGCAACATGCATGTGGTAAGTATTTGGAACTTGAAATAGGATAAACTCTTGAAACATTTGGAACATATGCGTGACAATGTGCTACCAAGTTCCCCAGAAGCTAAGAGGAGCTCACTGTGGAGGAAAGCAATGAATCAGAATGCAAGAAATCACAGTTCCAAGACTTAATCACAAATTCAATGACCTCTATACACAAGGTATGATGTTGTGTGGAATCATAATGCATAATCATCTATGCATTGGAAAACATATAACTATGATGCATTATTATTTAAGATAATAATTATTATAAATAAGCAAGGTCATGTGTATGGCTTGGGTCTTGATTTTGTTTTATTTCTTACCACAGAGATATTAACATTAGGGTTGTGCCATTTTTCCCACGTCTCTTCACTATGAATTCTTCACAATCACTAAAGACAACTCCTTCCCTCTATTCTTTACAATCACTAAAGACAACTCCTTCCCTATATTCTTCATTTGATGTCTTTGTACAATTAAGGCGTGTCATATTTTCTGTCTCATTGAATTAGGAACATTTTTGCTAAAGTTGTATCTAACTGTTACCAAATGTTTGTTAAATATAGTATTAACTAATGTGTTAAGACAAAAATGAATGATACACCTGATGAATAATTAAATTGCAATGGAATAAAAGAACCCCTGAAAAGGTATCCTTTTTCCTTTGGAAACTTGAAAATCATATTCTTTCTTTTGAGGAAAAACTCAACCAAATTGATATTCTAGGGCCCTTTCAAATGCCCTTTGTGCCCTTTGTGCAAATCCTGTCTTCCATTCTCGCATGAAACACCTGACCATAGATTATCATTTCATTCGTGAACTTGTCCAAAATGGTATTCTTCGGGTTGCTCATGTCCGCTCTGAAGATCAAATAGCAGATTCTCTTACAAAACCACTACCTCGACGCCGCTTTCACAGCTTACATTCCAAGATTGGAGTTCTTCCCAGATCCTCCAACTTGCGGGGGCATGATAGAGATAATCCATAATAATTATTATATTAGTAAATTATCTCTTGTATTTTAAGATAAATACTCCGTATGTAAATCTTATCCTCAAGTTAGTTGCTATACTCTAGAGATCTCAATTGTACAAAGTATATATATACTATCTACCTCCATACGAGATGAATACAACACACCATTATTCTCTTCTAGTTTATTTTATTTTATTTTATTTTTGCAAAAGGGATTTTATTAATAAAAGGGAAAACAGTACAACACGATAAAGAGAGGAAAAAAAGGGGGAAAAAATTGAAAAGCATTACAAAAGGAAAAACAAAAGAAAATAAAAAATAATTAATCCCAAGGGTAGTCTCTGGATTGAGACCTTGTTCTCATACTATGCCGCCTTTTGTTCTTCTGAGTTTTTTTGTAAATTTTCAGCTGCGGGTTCAAGTTTTCAGTTGGCAGGCAGTTTTCCATGGTTATGAAATTGGCTTTGCGGCAAATTTCCTTGTTGAATTTGGACTTTCTAATTTCTTTTGGGTATGAAATAGGAGGGCGACGATCGCTTTCAGTAGCATGTCCCAAGAAGTCATCTGTAAAGATTGAATCGTCCGAATGATCAAAATCATCAGAGGCACATGAGTAAGCCTGGATTGGTGGCAACTGGAGTTGTTTCCCGGATGAGAAGACATGTTCATTATCGGTACCTATCGCATGGATTTGTTGATTTAAAATCAGTTTAGAGATAGAAGTGGGGTCCTCCGACTCTAACTTGCTCCCACATTGAAGAAAGATTGAGTCGTCCTGCACTGACTTTGAGAGCCCTACAAAATTAGCAAAAATATTGAGGAATTTTATTAGGCTCGAATTATTTGGTCTCATTGGTACTTGAATGGATCCTCCCTTGTGTTTAGCCATTTTCGCATAGTAGCCAACTCTGTTAATTTCCACAGATATTGTGATATCTCCAAATCGTCTTTTCTCCTCAAAATAGGACTGACCACGATTTCTGAGCTGAGCGATGAACGAAATGATTTGGGGAACTAGCTCAAGCCCGATGTGAATCTTGCGCAGAAGAGACCTTTTAAATTGAAAGAGGACCAAATCTCTGTTTTTCACTGCGAATTTAAAAGATTTAGTTTCAATTTTTACTGAATCAAACCCATATTCTCCAAAGAAGGAAAATTTTTCACCGCCTTCTCTCGTGACCGTTTCCATAATACAGCTTTGATTTTTGGTTCCAGAGGGGCCTGCCTCGTCAAAGGGGTGTTGTTTCCAATTAAAAAAAATATATTGATTTTAGACAGAAGTTTAGGGCCATCCATGTCCTGTACGCTGGTTTTGCCTTTGTCCGCAGTGTCCTTGAGTAGATCCGCCCATGTGAAGGATTGATGCATTCCAGCTGATGAAGTCCCCACGCCATCAGTGTCGACGACTGGCAAAACGGTGGACGCCCCCCTCGCTGTAACTGATGGAGCCCTCGACTTTGCGATTTCCCTGGTTGTGATTTCCGGCGTCCCTTGGTTATGAGTGTCGGCGATTGGCTGTCTAGCCACCGGCGAAGAGGTTGTTGGTCTTCGGTTGGAGCCGCCATAGTCATTGGTGTTCCCAAAGGTGCTATTGCCGTCGTTTCCTGAATTTGAGAGACGGACGTTTGGGTTTTTTCTCACATCCAAACGTTTGCGATAATCGTTGAAGGGATGAGTATCCGATTCAACTGTTTGCGATGGAAATTCAATTAAACTGTGATATCGATTGGAGTTGCCAGAAGCTCTGAGTTTTTCTGGAATGGTGTGTCGGTGCGCTGTGGAGAAGTGTTGAGGGCGGCCGGATTGGCACCGTTTCCTGTTGTTGACAACGCGCCAATCGTCTGCAGTTTCTGCTGTGGTGAGGCTGTTGAAGGAGTGGCGAAGTGGCCTAGCCTCTCTTCGCCGTACCAGGAAGTGACTCCCTGCCTCTAAGCCGTTCTTTGCCTTATTGGATTTGAAGTTGTTGTTATACCTGGGTTTGTGAAAGGGAGCTGCGTAATTGGTTGTTTGTTCTCCCTGTTTGCCGTGCCTGGGGTAGGATTCTTCAAACCAGCGCCTGCGTGATTGACTGTTGTAGCGGCATGAGCATGAATAAGGATAGCTAAAACCAGATTGTGTTCTTGGCGCTTCCTCTTCATATTTTGTGATTCTACCCCTGGATTGGGGCTGCGGAAGTGGTGAAAAATCCCTGTCTCTGGAGTAGAGTATGAACCTTTGTGTGTTGTATCGATTATCCTTGAATAAAGGTTGTGGATTCCGGCGGCTGAATGGCCGGAAATTCATTCTCTTCAGCAAAAAAGTTTGGAACCATTTTAAACTATAAGCCCAATGATTATTTTCTAGAAAAAATTGATTGTAATAATCCCAACTATTGGCGGTCCGCTTATAATAATCCCAACTATCGATTATTTCAGAATAATCCCAACTTTAGGTACCTTCCGCCAATAATAGTCCTTGTAAATAAATTCATGTAGTTTCTAAAGTGGATGAGAAGAGAAATAGCAAGTAATCCTAGGGGTGGGCAAAAATACCGAAATATCGGTATACCGCACTTACCGTACCGAAAAATACCGGAAAATACCGAAATATTGGTATACCGTCATTTTCGGTACGGTATCATACCGTACCGGTCTATTTCGGTACGGTAACGGTAAATGTTTTCAAATACCGCGGTATACCGGTATAATACCGTACCGACTCCCTACTCAACAATTACTTTTAATTCTAATACATTGTAGAAATCCATTACAATTTTGAAGCCCAAAATTAATACTTAAGTTGGTTACAAATACAAAAAATACAAAAATAAAGACCCAATTTCTCAAAGCCACTATAACCTTATAGTGGTACAAATGAGTAATGTTAAATGTAGGCTTCTACTATGCTAATCTTAAATGACTAATGAGTAATATACAAATGTCAAGAAACAACTCCATCTTGTTCCAAGAGCTTGCAAGTCGTGATGGCTGGACCGGTAAGTAGCTGATGAGTGAAGAGAGATACACTTATGTGACAAGTGTATCTACATAGGGATTCAGCGAGTCGAGACACACAACTTTGTCCGAAAGTCTTATTCAATTTTTAAAAAATTATAAAAATGACTAAATGCACAATATCATATTACGAATAAATGATTTTATATCCATGTTGTTTGAATAGTTTTATTTATTTTTGTTAGAGATCACTATTAATTTAATTATATCTATATTGTTCAAGTTATTTTAGGAGAATGTGTTACTTTATAATATGTGGTATGTTGAACTGCTTAAATATACTAATTATAATTATTGTTCAATATTGAATTGACATCAATATATTATTAATTGTATTTCGTAACATTTTAATAATATATTTAATAAGTCGCTAGTAATAACGATTTACTATATTTCATTAGTCTATGATAATTTTTTGTATTGGGAGACATGCACGGTAATTTACCGATACCGTACCGTTACCGAACCGAAACTTCGGTATACCGAAATGCGGTATACCGAAACTTCGGTAAGGTAAAGGTATGCAAATTTTGCATACCGAAAGTTTTGGTACGGCAAAGGTATGAGAAAAAATATAAGGTATACCGTATCGAACCACCCCTAAGTAATCCCTATAAATAATCCCAACTTTTAATTTTTACGCTTAATTTCTATTTAAAATTCACTTTTATATGAGGTAATATTTGATCATGGACCATTATTGGCGGACGGTCCATATAGTTGGGATTATACAAAAATAATCAATAGTTGGGATTATTATTAGCGGATCGGCAATAGTTGGGATTATTATTTTTAATTTTTCCTATTTTCTACCCAAAACTATGTAAGAGGCTGATACAACTATTTTAAAGGTAATATTGTTGATTTTAATTAAATCATTCTCAATATGGTTTGTTGGTATCTTTGGAAGATATGAAACAAGCATCTTTATGATTATAAAATGACCTATCTACCTGAGCCGATAAATGCTATAAAAACTAATGTATATTTTCCATTTATGATGCCAAACCTTTTACCTCTCACACCAACCAAATTCCTTTCAACATTCTCACTATCCCACCCAAAAAAAACCAACATTCCCTGCCTGAAGTCTTGGAACAAACCTCTTCCATCTTTCCAAAAGATAAACTTTGCTACTCGCTTCCTAAATACAACTCTTACTAGAAATGCAGATATATTCCGGGATGACCTTGGCAATTACACTAGGCATATGACCTTTCTGGCCAACACCAACGACATTAATCAAGCTACCTATGATGCTATCCTACAAAATGTTATCGACATCAAGAATATAAATACAAATATCTTGAGATAGAATATAAATACAAACATCAAGATAATGTTTGGTTAGCATCAAGGGAATGTCAGAACATTGTTGGGTATGTTAAATCGATGAATTACTTTTATGCCATTTAAATATTTTCTCTTAACGCAATAAATCTATTACAACATACATCTAAAGTGATTAAAATTAAAGAAAAATGAATATCTTAATATTAAATAAAATCTCATTCAAAAAAAATATTAAATAAAATAAAACCTAATTGAATTATTTTTAATTAAAATATGTTTAATTGTACAAAGTTGTAGATCCAATACAGAAATGAAAAAAAAAAAACTTTGTTCAAATAGTAATATAAATATATTTATTATCATCTCAAAATTAATATTTAAAAATGATCAAGTTAATCGTAAACGTTGTTTTCAAAATAAAGAAAAAATGACCAACTTTGCTATTAAATTTTGAAATCCACTCATCAAAACTTAAATAATCTATAACTCTTATAACATAAATACCTTAAAAAATTTAAATGATAAGAAAAAAAATTATGCAAATAACGAAATAGACATTGAATATAGTCAATACTCCGTCCGTCCCAC